GGAATAAATTATGCAGATTTGACGATCTTCCGAAATTTAAGGTTATTATTATTACTTTGTTTTAAATAATACTAATAATTATAGTTGAATATTTTTTTAATGTATAATATGCGACACTAAGGTTTTTCTTTTAAATTCATGTTATGGAAATTTTTAAATAACTTGCTCAATACATACAATATTGTTAAAATACATACGCTCAGATTTTTAATCTAATGCAAATGCATGGACAACGATTTACTATTCGTTGGAACAGCGTTTGACTCCTTTTCCCGATCTATGAAACGATTGTCTCGACTTTTTTTCAAAAATGCCTCATACTACGGTTACTCCGATACGATAAGATTGTGCCGGCCATTCAACATGTTATATATTGTAAGTTTATCGATAATGTTAAATGATGAATATTAACCAATAACTATTATATATTTACTAAACATATATCTAACTTCGTATGAATTTTAATATGACAACGGGTTTTAACGATTCAAACTGTTCAACTCGATTAGTTAAATGGTCAATGGTCATGTTATTGAAATTTTTAGAGAAATTGGTAGGCATCTATTTTTCTTATTTTCTATACATTACAGTTTTTAAATTTTAATTGTTTACCTGTTACCTGTTAGTAACTATTTTAGTTAAAAATTCAAACAGCCGATATTATTATATTACCTACGATAATTCGCGCAGGGATTCGACGTTCGTTTTAAGACTTTATCGTTGGACCAAGGACAGGGACTGATTGCTTCAAGACTTATTAACGACGAAGAATGGGTAATTGGATTATGACCACAAACCTGTCACTTAACTCAGAGTTGGATGCCACAATTAGAAATGGTGAGAATGACTAAACATATTCTAATATTAATGTAACGTAGGATTATTTTTGTACTTGTATATTGGATCTAATGAATTTTAATCAATAATCTACTTAAAACCACAAAAACAAAAACCGAATTATTCATCATAAGTGTGATATTAAAAGACGCTCAAAAATATTTCTGAATGATATTAGTATTGCGATCAACTTTAATATGCTATACACCCGCCTAAGCATTCGTGGTATTATTAGAACACTCATTCATTTGTTTAACAAACTGTATAAGTAATTTAAAATATTTTTAATACACGCTGGTTTATCAAGAATACGAAAATCCATCGGCCCCGATCAGATCACAGACAGTTATCGAACAATAGCTGTTTCAACAAATCCATCAAAATAGAACCGTCGTTGATTAGGTATGCCTGACAACAATCGTCGTTTCACTGTTTTCAGCGCGATTTGTCTTCTTGAATCTGAGTTGTCTGGAAGAACATTTTGCTCTATAGAACCAGAAGTTAATACTATCAACGAAGCGTTAGGGCGAAGGAGGTCGAACGTCTCATCGGTATTATTGATTCTAAAGCGAAAAGGAAATTGCGTAATCGCTGACTGAATACAGCACATTTAAAAACTGCTCTTTTCAAGGGTACGCGGACAAACGACGTTAACATCACTATTTATGTTACTACTTAAAATAATGGTGTAAATGTCAAAAACCATCTATCGAACAGAAGTAGTCGGTGCAATCGTTAACCACTGCCTTATTGGAAGACAATATTGACGTTCTTGACACATGTCATTTTCCACCCTTCTAGTCACCAATATAAAATCAATAAAATGTCGTTCAAAAAAAATTGCTATTTATCAATGTATGCCTTGGAAATACATATGATTTTTCAGGCCCCCTCCCAGAAAAATGTTGAAAATCGCCACTGAACTTACCTATATCGATTTGGGAAGTATCGAAATGGAAATTTCTGGCCATCTTTAATAATGTAATATATATTATATTGTTACGTAATATTTACTTGTGTGCATAATACTATGTACAAAGTACATCGTAAAATGTACACTTTAAATGTTTGTCGGTATCAATATTAGTCATAATTAATAACTATAAACTTATATACGAGCGGTACATTAAAATTTGGAGCATGGCAAGTTCAAACGAAGGGAAAAGAGTATTGTAATAATATTTGTCGTCGATGTTCTCCACAAACTTCCGGCGCATTTTGATACGGTATTCACGTTAGAAAAATACCATACCAGCTACTAATTCTATGGAAACGGTTTTGGTGTAAGAAATAGAACAGTTCAACAGTCTATTGAATGCCATCAGTTCGGTCACGATTAATGTTTAAAGGGCTATGAAAATTAAAACCATGAAAATCGAATTATAATTTTTCTTTTTTAATAATAAAAGGTACGCGTTGTACGTATTCACAATTAGATACGAATCGTACACATTGTATGAACTATAGTATAGTTAGTGGTTTTTTTTTTTTTTTATACGAAATGTAAATTGTATTACACGTGTATTATATAGTACGTACCTGTACCTGATATCGCATTGCGTTTTATGGATTTACTACTGATATCTAATGAACTGGAAGAATTCTCCCAAAGTATTATACACTGGGAAGTTTCCGTATACTTGGGCCAGAATCTTTGTATTCGTCTTTGAAACCATTTGGAAATTATAACAAAGATTTTCGATTTTCTACAGAGAATTATAGATTATATTATGTACCTACTTATAACTATAGCTTTTAACTTTTATACCAACGCGCATGCATGAATATTGTATTTTTCATTATTTCATTGAAACATTTTTTGCGAATGTATTAGATATAAAATTAAAAACCACTGCTATAAAATATAATTTTTCATTAAATATTTGAATTAATACGATATTTTAACTTTAAAGGTATAATTTTATATTTACGTATAATATTATTAATAGATACCTATATGTACTATGTTTGTGTTTTTTTGGATTATTTTTTCTTTTGTACTTTTGGGCGCGGAGGGATATCGACCTGCTGACATTCGATTATACAAGGTATACTAATAAAGACCAAGGGGTATATAATTTTCTCTGTTATTATGCATATATTATACATATTATGATTTGAATTATTCACAAAAATTGAAAAATATTAAAACTGATATAGGTAGATACACTATACGGTTAGGTTTATAATTTTATAATATTACCACTGTGGTTTTTTTATACGCTTGGGATGTAACACAAATCAATAATCCGTTCTTCTCAGTGTGTTTTAATATATATATATATATATACGTAGAGTGTGGGTATCTCACGAAGATTCGATAAATGCAATAACTTTCTTTTTGTTCAAATTTGTCAGTTATTTTGTTTTCTTTATAATAATTATGTATACTAGAGCTTTGCGCTGTGATTCATATATTTTATATATTTTTTTTTTTAATTATCATGAACTTGAAATGAAAAATTCAAGTTTCTTGTTTTTTTTTTTTTTTGAAAATCGAGATAGCCATTTTGTAGATATAAATTTACATTAGAGACAACATAGGTATTAGTATTTAACTACTAATTTTGGATTCAATTTTATCTTGTAGGTTCATACGTACCAAATGAACTTCATAATTTAAAATATATGTTTAATTTATGATCACACGTTACCTGAGCTGGTGTTAATATTAATACACAGTCTACATATACTGATATACTACGACCTAAAGTTGTCCAAAAGGTTACTAGCTTAGTATATAGTAAATTTAGGTACTGATGGATAAACTATATATGATTTAATTTTTTTTTTTTTTTAATATATTTAAGTATTTAATGTAAGTTGGTATAAATGTAAATATAACTGAAAAAAATAAATAAATGAATAACTTTTGAAAATGTTTACATAGAGAAGATAATCAGAACACAACAAGTATGTTTTTGGTTCTGAAAATAAATTACTTGTTGAAAGTAAAAGCTAAAAAAAATTTCAAATATTTTAATTTATTGATTCAGAATTCTATTAGGTAGGTATATTTCGCCCTCTCCCTCATTAATTTCGAAAACACCTTGTATATATAATGAAATATCATATAAGCTATTCTTAAAATCAATCTTACATATGCACAGACATTTTTTTCATATTCAATTATTTCTCCTACTAGATATACACAATGATGAGGTTACAATCAAAGTACATGATGATATTTCAATAAAAATTAACTTATTTTTTTTTCAAATCCCCTACAACCACTATTAGTTCTATTATGTTTAATAGTAATTATAATATTACTGATATTAGTACGAAGTAAATGAACAGGGGCCGAATGGTTTGGCGGACAACAGGGTAAATGTCCGGTAGTCTGACTTATAATAAGTGGCCCGAAGTGTTCAAATTTGTTTTTTTTTGTTGCTTACAAAAATCAAAAAAAAAAAAGGGTAATTAAAATATTTATGACAAAAAAATGTCAGATATAGATTTGTATTAGTATAACGTTATAAAACGACATTATATTAAATATATACTATATTGAACAATGTATCTATATCTACATTTTAAAGAGTAGCACAGAAAACATTCCGATTCAGGAAATTTTGGCCAAGAAGCATAAAAATAAAGTATTGAACATTTTGTTTACTGGAACTTTCCAGTAATTATCTTATTTCCTAGATTATAAATAGGTACTATATTTTTAATCTAATAAATATTATTTTATTAAAAATAAAGTTTTTGTTATTTTATATGTTTATAAAACCTCCTAACTTGCAATAATTTACAACTTAATTTATTCCACTCAACTTCCTTGCATTTATGTATGCAAAATGTAGAAGTCCACAAGAAAACTTATGTTTCAATACTTATTATAATATTATAAATTATAATTATCTACTTATAAACTGATATTTATAATTAAATTGTTTGTATAATAAATAATTTATATTCTATTAAAACAATCAATTTTATTTTGTGAAAGCTAAAAATAATTAGATAGGTAGCAAATTGTAAGAACCAATTTAAAATAATATCGCGGTAAATTAATATAATACAGCGTCATGTGTAAGACAAAAACAATAACACCATTAGTATGTGTTATGTCGTTCTAATATCCTCTATCGGGCAACACTTAGTGAACATTTCAGTCATCAATGGGTGATAACCGTAAAATAGTATGATAAGATTCCCAAACTTGAAGAAGATCAGAAATCAGAACTGCCTAAATTATTAAAACATTTATTTGGACATTTTTTTAACTTTTATTATTTAATTAAATTGCAAGTTAAATTTAATTGTTTAGAAGATTTGCTACTTAATATTATAGTCTTTCATTTTCTGTATTTGTCATAATTTTAACTAAAAACAAAACAAAAAAACAACTAACTTCTGCCCTGCTCGTAAGTATCTATATAAATCACCTGCTATTTTAAACATTATCTTCAGTACATTGAATTAAAAATATTTAGAATAAAGTAATTTTCTATGAACTTGCATACATAGAGGATAGTGTCTTCTATTATTGCTAGATATTTGAGTTATAAAAAAAATATACACTTATAGTGTAAGTTATTGTAGAATTTAAAAAAAATATTCGTTTACATATACATATATATATATATGTATAGTATGTATATAAACAGTTCATAACACTCTTTTTAGAAAAATTGTTTTTTTAAGTAATTACAGGCCAATGTTTTTGAACTGTGTTATTAAAAATAAATTATAATTTACATTCTTCTATTTAGAAATACCACCATTGTAATAAATGATATTGCTTGCAAATAAAACGACACTAACATTATGGTCGATAATCAATATGAATAATTATTAGGTCTAAGATATTTGGTTTAAATTTGAGTGTATGATCTTTTTTTTCCAATTTTCTTTTAGAGAAAATATTAATTCAGCTATAACCACCAAATAAAATGGGTGAACGTAAAGGACAAAACAAGTATTATCCGCCGGACTATAACCCGGCGGTTGGAGGATTGAACAAATTTCAAGGAACCCATGCATTGAGAGAACGTGCCCGAAAGCTCCACATGGGCATTTTAATTATTCGATTTGAAATGCCATATAATATATGGTGTGATGGATGCAACAACCATATTGGAATGGGTGTTCGGTAATATAAATATTTTATGAATTGTAATAATGTCATATTAACTAATTCAGTTTTCATATTATTTAGATATAATGCGGAAAAAAAGAAAATTGGAATGTACTATTCAACACCAGTTTATCAATTTCGAATGAAGTGTCATCTTTGTAACAATCATTTTGAAATTAAAACAGATCCTGGGGTAATAATAAAATATTATAATTTATCTAATTTTTGATAAGCTTGTAGTGATGTTTAATATTTTTTATAAATTACAAAATAGAATTTAGATTATGTCATTGTAAGTGGTGCTCGCCGGCAAGAAAATCGATGGGATCCAATTGAAAATGAACAAATTGTGCCAGAGGACAAAGACACAAGTAAAAGACTGTTTGATGATGCAATGTTCAAACTTGAACACGGTACTGAAGATATAGACAAAGCTAAAAAAGCAGCACCTTTATTAGTTAAACTTCATGACAAACAAGATGCTAAATGGAATGACGATTTTGCTGCTAATTCATTATTAAGACAACAGTTGAGAGTAAGTTTAAAAGCTAATTGAATACCTACAATATGGCTGAAACTACTGTTTTATATTTATTGGGTTTATTTTGTGCATAGTTTCCTACAGTGTTAACTGTATGCTAATAACTCTGTCAATAATTCAATGTTCATTTCTTTTTTTTCAATCTACTTTTGTGTCAGAGGGAATCAAATGTAGAGAAAATTAAATTTGTATTTTCATACAAAATACCTTTATCACTGAAAAAAAAATAACTTTAACATTTCAAAAATGTGAATGTAACATACATTCGTATCCGATAAATAGTTTCTTAGTAATATTAATTTATATTCATATTTAGAGATAGTTGTGAAAAACAAGACTATCCTGTTAAGCAATGTGAATCATAATGATTAAGGGATGAAAATAAAAATTTTATTTTTCTCTACATTTGTTCCCCCTGGCACAAAACTCAATTGAATAATGAAAAAAAAAAACAAATATTGATAGATTTATTAGCATATGGATAACACTATAGGACACTGTATACGGTTTGAATTTATTTTTGTTCTTTAATTCTGACTGTTTACAATTTTCTTTATTGGATTGCATTACCATCTTAACATATTTACATTTTGTATTGAAAGTAATCTGTTTACATTTCAGACCAAAAAACAAAAAATAGCTGTGAAAGAGAAACATGATAATGAATTAAAAAAAAGATTATCATTAAGTATTCCATTAGTTGACGAAGTTGAAGAAGATTTACAAATTGCCAAATTATTGAGTTTTCAAACCTCTGATAGTAAGTATGACATATTATATGTCATACAAATATTACTAAATAAATTTTTTTTTTTTTTTGACAAAATTTTAAGTTTGTAAAATTAATACAAAATATTTAATTGGTATTAAAACATTAAAAATTATATGCCAGTTCAATATTATTGCTTTGTCAATATTTTTCATTATTTCTCATCAAATATCTGTTTTAGATTCTGATATTATAGTTTTACAATGATGTTTATTTTTAGTTTTCTGTTGACACTTTCAGAGATTTTGTTTCAATTTTTATTGAGGTTATTTTTTGTTTTTTCCTACAAATATGAAAAAATGGAAAATCAATACATTAAACAAATATTATTAAATAAAATATATATAGTCGATTTACATATTTTACTATAAAATGACATGTATATTGTTGACAAAGTATCACTATCAACTGAATTCTGCTCAGAATCGTTTTTTTGTAAGCAATGATTTATCATTGCTTACAGGTATACATTAAATTATTTATAACAGTGGCTGTACCCGTCCCCATTATCCTAGGATGTCTTTTTATTATTTTTGTAGTAATTTAGTACCTAGCATAATTTTTCTCTATCATCACTACTATCTATACTTAATTATCAATCGTAAAAAGCTGTAAGGCTTATTTTGTAGATAAATAAATAAAATTTAAAAAATTATCAATTTGATTTATAAAAATATTGTTTAGGTACAAAAACCAGAGAGAAAAAATTTATTCATGGACTTCGCCAAACACCCAAGCTTGAAAGTAATAAACCAAAAAAGTTACTTAATGTGGGTATCGTTCAAACCACCGTTGTGGCCCAAAAAGAAACATCACCTTTGTCGACAGAAACAACAAAAAATCCTAGTAATTCTAGACCATCGCTTGTGTCTGCAGATTATGGATCATCATCACCATTATCTGATTAAAATATTTATACTTAGGCATTAAGTAAAACAAATTTGATTTTGTAATATAAATAAATAAATAGTTATGCGTAATAATTAAACAACTTGTGAGCTGTAATGTATCATTATATAGCACATTATTAATATATTATTTTTATCAGTACTTTTAGAATACAATTTTACATTTATGTTACTTTTAGAATTGTAAATGAATCGCTAAATACAAAAAGGGCACATGTCCAAATTCTAATTTCTGTTAAAATGTATGTGTAATATCTAATACCAGTGGCGCCAAACCTAATTTAAGGGATAAGTTTATACCCTAGCATTGGTAGTTTAATATAAAACATTGTAAATTTTACAGTTAATATATGGAGTACTAAACATAATATTACAAATAACTCGAACTAGTCTATTCCATGATTGCCGTAGTGTGTACTGTCCTAGCAGGCAACTAACATGTGGAACCACAGATGTAACCAAGTATTAGTAAAAAGCGGGTTCAACCACCTTAAATCTGACAACTGTGTCTACAAAACTTCTTACTGTAATTTGTGGCAATATATGTTGATGATTTGTTGATTATAGGTTCTAACCCAGCATCTATCAAATGGATAAGAAAACTCAATGTAAGACTAATGACATGAAAGACTGGTGAATGTAAGAGCTTTTTAGGTCTTAACATTATATTCTGAAAACACCTAAGAAAATCAAAAATTGATTTCTTTAATACACTAACTAGGCAAAATTATCTTTCAGAAAAATTGTTACTCTACACATTGGAACAATATTTCTGGTAGAAAAGTGGTTCAGACACAAAAAAAAAAAATATAAACATACCTCATAGTAAAACCAATAGATCCCTCACAATGCTCAAAATTTAAAATAAACTTTATTGTAAAAACAATATACTACATCTTATTCTTGTCTATATCAAATGTTAACATCGGTTTTTAATGATTATATAAATAATTTCTATGCTAATTAAAATATTAAATGATGCAAAAATACAAACACTATTCAGAAAATAATATTTTTTAGTTTAAGAAATTGGTAGTTGGTGGATGGCTATGCCCCCCACGACTTAGGTTTAATATCATGTAGAGGTAAGTAGATGTAAATTAATGTTTATGGCCACACATTCAAAAAATTAGTTTGGCGCCACTATCTATGACTATAAAATAAGTTTTTAAATTTTTTTCAGGGATTATTTATTTATTTTTTTATGCTTTAACGGGACATTTTACAAAGAAATTATGTACTGTACATAGAGAATAGCATAAACATTAGGTTGAATCATAGTACTAACAGTTCAAGAGTAGTTTACAACGGTAATACAAACAAACAGTAATTGAATACTATAACATGCAGATTTATACATTTAAAAAGGAAGGGTTTTCGTTAGCCAACCGCATCACATGATGAATAAGGGGATGGTTACGACCAAAGTTTGTAGAATGAGTAGGAACTAAAAATAAAGCGTGAGTAGGAACTCTGAAGTTCACCTGGAAAAGGAGAGAAGGGAAATCAATGGAGCCATCAAGTAGGTTGCTCAAAGATAGAATATTAGCAGACAATCTTCTGTCTACAAGTGAATCAAGAAAAAGGTTGTTATAATTATTAATAATAATTGAGATTTAAGATATATCTTAAAGCATTCCAGTTGGCAGTTATCACATTATAGAGTTCAATGTTATCAGCTATGGCGGCCTTTGATAATATTATATCTTGAATTAAGTTGGATCGTGTTTTCGTAATATATTTTTAAATTTTCTAGTTAAATAAATGTGTCTTACGGTATTTTAATATTATTATTGTATTGCAATTTTCCAAATAATATTAGTGTTATTTTCTACATTTTATGCTCTTTAAGCATTGTTGATATTATTATTTTTATTTTTCATAGATAATTATGTAGGTATATATAATATAATTAAAAATTAATTACTGATTTATTTAAAACTAAGAAAAGACATTTTGAAGTTCATGGTATACATTAGTCATGAATAATCCAGGATCATTTGCTAGTAAATATGTTTTTCCCATTTTTCTGATGTCATTGTTTTAAAATATTATTTATATTATTGTAGAGGAGTTTAGCAGAGTAAAAGCATCTGAACATTATGAAACAATTAATTCTATTGGCAAATACGACAATCCAGCAGCTGCCAATCAGCCCAGTACAAGTTATAATCAGCCTAGTACAAGCCATAATCAGCCCAGCACAAGCAGTATAAAACAATCTCCTGTTAAATCTGGAAATTCCAACAGCGTGTTAGTTAATCCAAAACAAGTATGTATTTTACTGTCTATTCCGTATAAAATATAATCAATTTATAACTTATGTATTTTGTACTTTTAGAGAGGTAATCCGTTAATTAAATCAATCATCAATGTACCCTGGGAGTATTCGGATAATATTGTACCAGACTATGTAATGGGACGTACGACTTGTGCTCTATTTTTATCTCTGCGTTACCATATCTTAAAGCCTGACTATATATACAACAGAGTGAAATCTTTGGGAAAACTTTACGAACTGCGCGTTTTGGTACTTCAAATTGATGTAAAAGAGCCTCACAATGCGCTCAAACAGTTGACCAGAATGTGTTTGGTAGCTGATCTTACATTAATGTTGTCTTGGAGTTCAGAAGAAGCAGGCAAACTTATTGAAACATATAAAATATTTGAAAATAAACCACCAGATCTCATAATGTCAAAAACCGAAGGAGATGATTATTCTAGGGTAAATTTTAGGTTTTTTTATTTTAAATTCATCTATGAAATATTATGTTTTAAACAATTTATAGTTGGCCAATGCTCTCACAACTATCCGTGCTGTAAACAAAACCGATGCCGCGTTGTTACTATCTACATTTGGTTCATTGGAGAACATTTGTAATGCCACTCTAAAGGCTTTAACATTGTGTCCAGGATTTGCTCAACATAAAGCCACACAGTTATACAACACGTTGCACAAACCTTTCCTAAAATCTAATACAAAAGAAAATTAATATTTTAATATAATTTTTCTTCATTGAAAAAATGTACTTTGTGATACTACTACATAGGTAAAAATAAAAAATTATTTTTAATTTCTTTATAGATCATATAAAAATTGAATTACAATCATTTGTATTATATTTGATAATGAGTTTAAATACTAAATAAATAAATATTAAACCGGTTTGAATCACTGTTATATGGTAAGTACCTATTAATCATTTAAATTCTTAATTAAATATTTCACAATTAGATTTTTAAAGTAAACTTTATTCCTGCCGTTACTACATTTACTAACATTTTTCATACATGTTAATAATTTTAAAAAGTTGTCCTAGGATAATAGGAACCAGTGCAGCCACTGTTTTAATTGAAAAGTTGAAAGGGTATAGGAGAAACTTAATGTACATCTGTACACAACTATTAACCATTGCTAACAATAAATGATTCTTAGCGAAATTTGGTTTATAGTATAGCTTTGTCAAAAAAGTATATAATTCATATTATTGTAAGATAATTACATATGCATTATATATATTTTTTTTTTAAATATTTGTTTAATGTAGTACCTCTTTTTCCGATTTTCCCATGTTTTTCTCATTTATTGAGAAAAATCCTTGGAAAATCAAAAGATGACCTTAAAGTACCTCCCCAGTTCAATTTCCTTTCAGAAAAAGTGCCATCTTTTTAAATCGGATTAAAATTGCTAGTAGAATAGTTGTCCACAGAAAAAAAATAAATATATATTATTGTAAAACCAATATATTCCTCACTTCACTCAGAATCTAAAATATAGTATAAGTGTCATTAAAAATTGTGTATCAAATATTCAGAAATTACTACATTCAGTATTTGTGCCATAATCAAGAATAAGTATTTGGAATTCAATATATTATTTATTTTATATTATTAAGAATGTTGAAAGCAATTCAGTATAATATATTTATAATATATAATTTGTTGTAATTCTAGTTTAATTACAATTACAGTCACATTCATGGGTGCCCACAGGAAATTTATCAGGGAGAGACATAATAAAAATCAAACAACAAAAAGTACTTAAGATAAAAATATATTAATTAATTATTTAAATTATATTTGAAATTTTGAACTCCAGGACGCACATGGTTGCATTTCTAATTTTGTATTAAACATTATATCATTATATTTACAGATTAATTATAGTAGTATTCCGAGTAAAATTACACAAGACCTTTTGTTTTTTAATTGGAAAAATCATCAATTTCAATACGGTGCCATGGAAAAAATAATAAATTTAGTTGTGATGAATTTAAAATTGTGTTAATTACAAATCCGTAAAATAAATGGTATGTTTTGAATGAATTCACCCAATTAGTTTATGTGAATAAAATAATATAATATGATAATATTTTCAAACAAAAGATGTAATTGTTGAATATAAACAAAAACGGTATTTTTACTGAAAAATATACTAAACAACACTAACAGTTTTTATTTTTACCTAGGCTAGATATATTGTGGTTAACATTGTCTATAACTGGATATATGAGTATGGTGACTAGACATACTCTTTTTCATGGGACAGTATTCTTTTTTAATGCATTTTCCTATGTCTTTAACTAGTGTTAATGGTGTTAAGTAGGTATATAAAATTGTGCTCTTTTTTTTAAAATATGGGGTAATACATGTTTATGATTTTGTATAAATATGTATTTATATATACTTTATGGTTTGACATAATGCATTTCAAATGTCTGCATGTGACCAACAATGGTAGCGACAGCTAGAGAACCACCGTTTGACGGGGAAAAAAAAACGTTAACATAACCACCAGAAATATATTAATAAAGTTTTGTACATATTTATTTAAATATTTACCTTTAAAAATAATTTAATTATTTATACTTTAAGTTTACTTAAAATTACTTAAGTAATTTCAAAGTATTTTCATCATAAAAATACAAACCAAATGAGTTGACATGATTTCAAATAATTAGTTATTATAGTTGATAATAGAAAAAATAATAATAGAGTAATCAGAATAAACAAAAATGTATATAGATGGAGATGACCTATGGGCAAAATTGGTAGAATAGTATAAAATTTGGCTAATTTTTTTAATAGAGGGTTTTTTTTTTATAACTGAGGACCTAAATTTGATCTAATCATTAGATATTAGATATCAATTAGTAATTGCATTAGCATTGTTCCATTCTTGCTTTATTCAGTGTTGCATATAATGCCATCAGATGAAGCCAGATGAAGCTTTTAATTCTGGAATTCTGGTATATCTATCAGTGACGTGTTCTATACTCCTGAAGCTCTCCATCGTTTTTTTCATACTTTCATCATTGTATATTTTGTGAGTTTCAGGTCCCATATCGGGTATCTTGATTTCATTTTTTTCTTGTTCTATGAGGTTAATGTGTAGAGGGAGCTCAAGGTAATTTAATATTTTTTAAATTTTTGTTCTGTGTTAGAAACTTTGTAAATCTGGTGGGGCTATATTAACAAATGTTGGGCGTTGGTAGCCATTGAACTTGAGTGGATCTAACTGGTCTCTTTATAATCCGCATGGACATGGCACAATTAGGTTCCGTGTCAACTTTATGGCAATTGATAATAAGAACTCCTTCAAACCGAAAGCCATCATTGTATGTATACTAATGTTATTGCAGACGTCAGTAGGACTTTTGCATTACTATCCCAATTCGAACTTGTTAACTTGGATAATATGATATTATTTTATTTTATACTTAATTTCTACTAAAATAACGTAAATAGAAAGTAATTATTAATAATTAATGATAATAACAATAATAATTATTATTAATTAATTATATTATTATAATTAAACATTATTAAACAATTATTATAGTAAGTATATAAATAGTATATTATTTAATCAATGGTAATTAGGATTAAAATAGAAACCTTTAAGATATTTTAAATATAAATCTTTAATTCGTAATGGTAACATAAAGGCGGCTTTCAATCGCATCATATTAATATTTTCGCTATATACAATATTTTGTCACCAAAGAGTTTGGAGGAAATATTTAGCTCCTAAATTGTCCGCTAGATAGCATAGACAATATTGATGTGATTATAAACATCAAATAATGAACTATAATTTATTTTATGAATCACACAGAAATTAAGTTAACCCAATCTAACCGTTAACCCAATCTAACAAGGAAAGTTTATTTTTTTCATAGAAGAGCTGCTTATTGATTTAAATACAATAAATTCATAAATTTCTTTAATGTGATCGTTTTGAAAGAAAATGTGGTTTCTTCCATGAACCATATCAGTGAATCGGATTGATCGATTTTGATTACAATTTACGAACTGTCGGCGAATATCTTTTTCCTAGTTACCTTACCTAAAAAAACAGCGTGGAAATAATTTTCCTTAATTCGTTAGTAAAGTCTCAAACATATTACTTGAAAAGGCGCAAAAAAAGTTGCTCCGTTACGTGTAACGTTAATATAATTATAAATTGACGAGGATATTGTGATTATTATTGAATTTTCGTTACATTAGCTGTAGAAACGCCATGGGAAACGTCCAAGCTTCTAATTTACCACCAATGCCACCTAATACTACACTGGTTCCGCCACCTACTACGCAGCCAAAACTACCACCTGAAGAGCGCATTGAAAATCCGGGTTCGGTGGAAGAACTACATAAGAAATGTAAAGGTAAAGTACATAATTTTGCATATGCTCTATATACATTTACAGTACTAACATTGTTTCATTAATCAATGATATTAATATGTCGCCTCTTTTTCCAGAATTGTTTCCAATGACTTTTGAGGGTATTCGACTCGTCATTAACAAAGGATTGAGCAATCACTTTTTTGTTAGCCATAGTCTTCTCATAGGATCAACTAGTCAAACGTCCAATTATAAATTTGGGTCTACATTCGTGGGTACAAATCAGATTGGACCCGGTGACTATAGCCCCCTTTTGATGGGAGACATTGATCCACGTGGGAATATTTCTACAAATCTTAATGTACAACCTTGGAATAGAGTAAAAGTTAAACTCAATACACAGGTTGGTTAATTTAAAAATAATTAAATTTAATTTTATCTGATTTATCGAATACATTTTCTATAACAGTTTCAAGAATTCAAAACAACTGGACTTCAAACAACAGCTGAATACAAGGCAGATAGATATACAGCTACATTATGTGTAGTCAACCCTGATTTATTCAATTACACTGGAATTTATATATCGCAGTTTCTATATGGTTGTAATAATAAAACATCAGTAGGCGCTGAAGTCATTCATCAACGCAGTCCACAAATTCCAAACGGACATATTACCGTTTTCAATATCTTGGGAAGATATTTATGTAAATATTAATAAAAATATAAAAAAAAAAAAACTATTTATAATCATTAGTGTTTATAATTTATTTAAACATACCTTTATTATTTTTGTTTAGATGATGATGTTACCACCATCAGTACTACACTGAGTTTAACGGGGTTGCAATGTTGTTATCATTTTAAAGCTAGTGAACAATTACAATTTGGTGTAGATGTGGAAGGTAGTCTTCTACAACGAGACATTAACGCGACGTTTGGATATCAAGCACAAATTCCCAAATCAGATATCACAATAAAAGGTATTGTTTATTTTCATAGTTATAGAGAAAAAAAATCTTTACCTCCTTTACTATCTACACTGATAAAATAATTTATCACATCTTTCACATTATTTAGAATCTTTTAATTTCTATTTATTTTTCTTATTATTGCTATTTTCAATACTAGCAGAGCCATATGAAAACCAAATAATTATAAAATAATTATAATCTGTTTCATTACAGTTAAAACAATATTTTTTCATAATTGAATTTCTAGTTTTTTTTTTTTTTCTATTTGTATAATCGCGTGATGCAATATTATATTTAATACAAAATTCTAGTGTGTGAATCCACATAGAAATTTAAATTTAAATATCTTCATGATCTAGTATGATCCATTTGTATTGGTTTCTTCGTCTTGAGTGTATACTGTATATGCTTTATTCTAAATTCAAAAAAATCTGGTTTTATAGATTTAGTTGTACATCCTTTTGTTATATTTTATTGCTCATAACTTTGTCATATTTTTCAACCCAACTAAGTTGTATATACAAAATTAAAATTAATACCACTGCCCTAATACAACCATTAAAGTTGCTATTATTATTATTATAATTATAGCTTTTAAAACATTTTTTACTGCAAAATATATTTTATATGATAATAAACATATTGTAAAACCCATTGCTTTCTTTTTCTGTTTAAAATCAAAATACTCATTTTAAGGATATTTTTAACATTAAAATTTAAATATATTTATGAAATTTATTATATATTTTAAATTTAAATAAAAAATAAGTAAAATAATTTATTTATTTATAGTCATTAAAATATAAAAATTACTGGTTCACTGTCATTTGATGTGCAAGTTGATTAACTTCTTTAATGAACTAAAAAATTAATCTTTATTAAGTACTTAGTACTCTGTAACTCATGATAATGATATGATAATAACTAAAGGGTTTTTCATTAAAAGTAGATCTAATTTAAAACAAAATAAAACAAGCTGTGTGGTTGATATTAACAATTTTTTTTTTTGTTTTAAAGTCCCACGAATACCAATTATTTATTGAATATAACATCATTTAAATGTCTGCTGTAGTTTCTCACAGCGACACGAATCCGAGTGGTTGAGTTTTTAATGACTGTCATATAGATCCAGATGAATTTAAACAATTCCTTGAGTTATGTTGACCTTAAGGTTATTTGTCTACATCGTTCTATTTAAGCAAAACGAAATTGATTATCAGCGTTCTGTAATGTTCACTATTGACGAAAATGGCATCACCAATGTCATTTTCAAAAAAGTATATACTAATGACACCATCAACTCAAAATCCATATCAAGCTTCTACTTTTTGTGGATGCATTGTCACCTGATGAATGTCGTGTGGGTTGGTATCATCCCATATATGGCAATTTGTCTTGTTTACATAGCCATTCATTCAAAAATGAGCTTCGTCCCTGAAGATGATTTTTTGAATCATGATGTTTGCACTATCGAATACTCATTATGATAATAAAGTTTTATCATTTGGACTTGCTGATTCGCTATGATGATTTTGCATTAGTTATTAAATAATAAATAACAGATTAGAAAGAGACGTCATCAAAATGATATGGCCGCACTGTACAATCAACATCAGTCCGCTCTAAAAACCCTTTATATAATACTTAAATTATGAAAGATATAAATATCAAAAAAATAGCTTATAATACATAGACAATTATTGAAATAATACAATTTTAATAAAAAAAAAACTACAAGTCACTTTTAAAATATTTTTGTCACTTTATTAAATATTTTCAACTTTAGTAGTAGGTCTGTGATTATATCTTGTTTAAAAAAAAAAATTGTGTTAAGTTGTTATTTTGAGAATATGGCTCCAAGTGTATAGCTTATTTATTAACAATAATTTAAGGTTATTAGAAATATTGTTATTCAACAATAAATAAAACAAATTAATTGGGTTTTTTTTATTATTACAGGTAGTATAGATCGAAAGTGGAATGTGAGCACAACATTAGAAAAACGTCTTCACCCAATGCCATTTACATTTGCGTTGAGCACAATGTTTTCTCCAGCCAAACATACATTAAAGATGGGAGTTGGATTTTTAGTTGGTTAATTTATGTACAATTTAATAACATTCATTGTAGTCATATAAATTTTGGACCTTTTTTTTCATTCCCCTTTGTGACATCCCTTATATATAATATATTATTGTCTCAACAGTTATGTAGTTCTTTTAAACATCTTAATTTATTTAACTTTAATTAGACACAAACAAAGTTACTATTACTACTACTACTATTACTACTACTACATCATGCCATTTATTCATTTTTAGATAAAAATATTAACTTTATTTTAATATTATGCTGAAAGATCTGCATATCGTTTTGTATTATAATATTTGAAATAAGTACTTAAATAGTAGAAAACCGAAAACCTTATAATATTTTATCTGGTTGAATATGCACATTTTTCAATAATATGGTCTGTTAGTAAAAAAAAACTAGGAGAAATTTATTGCATTTAATAAAATGTATAGAGAACTTTATCTTGATCTTATAAACATTTTATCTTGATTAGAAATAAAATGTTTTGACAATAGTAGTAAAATTCTTACATTGAAATCTGATCAATTGATTTTTTTTATAATCACTAAAATGCAAGTATTTAAATAAAAATTATATTAAACAGCTCCAATAATAATAATATTATATAAGTAGGAATTTAATAACAAAAATGCAATATTATACTGTAGGTATAATACATTATTAAATTTTATTTTTTAATTATATAGGTGTGTATCGATTTTTTCTAAATAATATTTCGATTTCTTTTTTCATTTTTGGTTTTAATCCACACTGTAATAAAAATAAAACAAAATATTTAAAATGTGTGTTAATAATATACCTAATCATTTAAGAAAATATAATTTATATTATATAACTTAGGTTAATTTAGATTTTTTTTTTTAAATATTTTGATTTATTAAAAGTTTTGTTTGTATAGCTATTTTTTATGACTTAGTAATATTCTAGAGGGCCATAATACACAAGAAAATAATATAGGTAATACAAGAGAAAATATGAAGTCAAAAACGTCTACTTTACAAAGTAACAAAAATATTTTCGAAACCAATGATTGTTATTATTTTTTCCATTATGAAGTTCTTGTGTTTTATGTGCCCACTAATATTCTTCTAATGCTGCTTAAGTCTGAATTTAGAATCTTAAAAAAAAAAAAAAAAAAAAAAAAAACTAAAGAAAATGCTTGTGAATCAATTATACTTCTTTGTTATTTAACTTTTACTATTTTTTAGATGTGTGAATAGATAGTGAATATATACTGTTTAATGATAATTAAATATATCACAATATTAAAATGACTTCGTTAGTTTATTATCATTTTTAAATGGATTATTTAAACAAAATAATATAACAGAATCTTGAGAATAATGTACTCGTATTTTTAGGTGAAATTTGTCTTTTCCTTAAGGTTGACAAAAAATAGTGGAAATATAAAATTTTAAAGTTGCCCGTTTCTCAAATTATCAAAAAAAAAAAAATGACTGACGTATTTCGCATATGGGTGCAGCCACTGTGTAAGTGAGAAATTGGGAAGGTAGGATACATAGGGGAATTCAACGTTTATCTGTAAGCAACAATAAATTATTGCTAACGAAAAACGATTCTGAACGGAGTTGAGTTGATAATGTTACTTTGTCAACAATACAATATATGATATATGTCATATTATGGTAGTCATTACAACAATGTGCATTTCCATGAAAATAATCTTTTTTAACCTTATGACCGAGGTTTTCCTCATTATCTCGTATATTAATAAGAATTTCATAAAATGACCTCTCTAATGTACCACCCAAAGAACATTTATTTTCAGAAAAGGTGCTATAATTAATATTTAGAGTATGCTTTCTGGTAGAAAAAGTGTTCACATAAAAAAAAAAAAAAAACATTGTAAAACCAATACATTCCCCGCTTCAGTCAAAATCTAAAATATATTAAGTAAAATAATATTACCTACTACGGGCTAAGTTTTTCTTACATGTCTACCTATTTTTGAAAATTATTTTACATTCATTATTCATTTATGAAATATAGTACCATTGGTACGTATATTTATTTTTTTTTTTTGTGTAATTACTTCGAGTGCTTTCGTGTAACAGACTTTTGCCTCGTCGACGTTTCCCATTTCGACGTTAACCACCGTCAAGTAGGCCCATACTTCGTCGTTTTTTACGTCCATAAAGTTCGCTTCGTTCAACGCTACTTCTGCGGCTTCTATTTCGCCGATCTGTGAAAAACAGTCAAGTCGATCTTTTTTACGGAATAGTATTATTATTTTATAGGTTTCCATTTGGTTTTGGAATTATATTGTTCAATAAAAAACGAATATTATTTATTGATTTAGAAACATCGATTGACACAACGTAGGTACCAGACATAAAGAGTGAAAACTATGAACGCATAAATGTTAAAGATTTAACTTTGAATGAAAAATAAAATAAAACGTTTTTTTTACAGTGTATTAATTTTTTTAAACTTAAATTTTATGCATTGCTGTAGCTAATAAACTATTGCTTTTCCGCAGAGAATTTCGGTTACCTATCTTACTATGTAGGCAGGTGCTTTTGTCGTAAAAATGTATACTACTTTCCTATCAATCTAAAACGTTCGGGCGGAAGTCTTTCAGTTCGCCGAGTCCGTTGTAAAATTCGACTTACCTGCCGCTGACTGTATCGTACCTAGAAGATGGCTAGATCAGTGGCGCCTGATGAAGGGGGGCACTTCTTCCCGTTCAAAGCATAGATGATCAAACGTATCATTTCGCATTCCCTCCCCGCCCCGCCCCCCCACCCAATAAAATATAGATACAACAACTCTAAGAATAAACAAAAATACATATTTCAAATCGATTTTCATTGGTAACAACTACCAATATACCTCACACGAACAGTAACATGTAATATTAAAATTTCAAATAAATTTCTATTTCATTGATTTATAACGCGACCGACGAGACCTCCGTCTCGGGTGGATGATAAATGGATATCTTTCGGAATCGAGCACGTGTCGATCCTTTAAAATCGCTCGTTTCGGCGTACAACTACCTACATGCCATTCGGTCGTTTGCGAATTATTCTTTTGCGGGGTCGAATGTCATACTCGTCCATAAATAAACCTATCGGATTACCGCCGTGTCTCTTGTGTGCCCTATATACGCCGTATCCGTTTAACCGTTCCGCCCAATGGATTCTCCGGAGCCGATAATACGTCGCGTTCCGTTTGTTTAATACCCTGTTTAGTTTCGATGCGGCGTGCCGGCGAAATCGATTTACGCGTTTGTTCAATTGAAATTATTAATAATAATAATAATAATAACGAATTAACAATAATGATTTAATACAGAAAAAACAGAAATGACGACGATGAGCGATTCGAAAAATTTAACAACAACCGATTAAGAGAATTGCGTATTCTTCGTGTATATTTAAATGTTTATTTTCGACAAAACTAATTATTACATTTCGTGCATGTGTAGGTACGTACCAATGCAATTCGTTCGTTGGAAAATAATTCCACCGGAGTGTTAGATTATTTGTATAACGACGTATTTAGATCCGAATTTCGGGGGGGGGGCGAGGTTTCAATTTGCAAATTGGCTATTGACCAATAAAATACATCTCACAAAAAATTAATTCATCCCGAAAATGTTGGGGGGATAGGGTTGTCCCCATCCCTACCACCGGTAGTAAGCCGTTAGCTATGTACTTATGTGTACTTTTATTTTCACCCTGCGCATCGTGGCGCCTTTTCAATCGCCAATGTGTACTTCATGTTTTCCAACTACAAAGTAATAAAAATTTTGATTTTTGAAATTTGTGAGCGTAGTTAGAGCCGATATTTTCTAATAATTCGATTTTCACAGCATTTAAGGAGTACCCTGTGACCATACCAACTTCGGTTTTTTAAATGAAAACTTACATGTATTTTTTGCAAATTATTAATTAAATGATCTTTCAGAAAATGTTGACGTATTTTACTCGATATTTGAACAAAATTTTTCGTATTATTCCACTTAAAAAAAACTAAGGAAAACTGTCTAAAAAGCATGGAAATCCTAAATGTATTTAAATTAATGCTTCATGTACTCATACTTCAATAATGTCATATTAGATTCAGAGCGTAGCGAGGAATCTATTGGTTTTACTATATCGCATGTGTTTTTTTTTCCCTGTAAACAACTTTCCGAAAAGAAGTCTTGCTCCGATGTTTAGAGTATAATAGTAACATTTCCGAAAGGAAATTTTGTCTAGTTGGTGCATTAGAGAGGTGATTTTTTTGATTTTTTAAGAGGTTTACGAAACTTACGTTGAAATTTATGTTTTCTACTTGAAATATTGCTCTAATCGGAAAATGATAAATTATCGATTTTGTTCCTTTTAACATACTTATAGCTATTGACGAGAATTTTTTTTTTTTTGATATCTAAAGTATTTTTTATAATAATTGGAAAAAATTAAAACAGACGAAAAATAAAATTTTTTTTTTTCGAAGTACGGTGCAACGATTTTATTATTCAAAATTGTTACGACTTATGTTTTCTTCTATGTATATTGCTCAAATAGAAAAATGACAAAAGACCCATTTTGTTGCATTGTAACCAAGTTGGTGACCAAGAAAGTTGGTTTTAGCAAAAACCGAAAAATACGTAGAAAGAACGGACAAATTTACGAAAACAATTAATTTATTATTTTAAATTTTGTTTTTTTAAATATAATTCAGTTAACATATTCGTAAAAACTTGAATGATGAGTGAAAACTTATATTTTTTTTTTCTAGACGTAGTCAAATGTTCATAACATTGAGCCATTTTTGAGTTATTTGTGGACATTTTAATTTTGCAAGTTTTTTTACATCATTTTTATTTGGTAGGTACTCTGTGAATAAAATTATTAAACTGTAAACATAAATGTTTGACAATTTAACAGGAGTTTAATTAAAGATTAAAAAAAAAAAATTGAGTGTAATGTAGTTTTTTTTTAAAGAGTTTTAAATTCAAATTTTGGCGATTCCAAAAATCAAAATATTAATTTATACAAAATTTAACCATAAAAATGGGGTGAGCATGCTTAATGAATCGTTCTGTATAAATACATTCCACGTGCCCCGATTTTTCCATTTCCCCCTGACGAGTACAACAAAGACATTTCCTTCTCTTTTCTACGGCTCGCGCGTTTTATATTTCCCCACTTTTATTTCGAGTTCTACATTGAGACGGGCGCCCCGTAGTTTTAAAAAGCCTTAGAGCCTTGGGCAAATGCCCTTATTGCCCCTCTCTTCCAATACGGCCCTGCCTATTTTGCCGCCGTCACTGCGGTGAATATATCGGATACAAAATAAATATAACCAACGAATAAGTCTCAAAATGAGTTCGTCTAATATACGCGTCTTATCGACTTTATCGTATAATAACACGGTCGCGTACGAAAAATTGTTCCAAATGACGTTTGGTTCTTGGTCGTAAAATATCCGATACACGCATGGCGGTCTGTAGATGGTTTTTTTTTTTTTTGGGGCCGTTTGATTTTTATCGGCTACGCACGGAGACGATGGGGGAACCGCGAATTTCGACGGATACCTAAAATACAATGAAATGACGACGCGAGGGGTGCGCGTGCACATATATAATAATAATATACGCTGCAGTTGACCTTTTATCGGAAGATCGGAATAAAGACACACGCAACGCAACACTCGAATTACGTCCGAAAACGGCAACCGCGATGGTATCTATTCCGTATTCTTCTTCGACTAAGTGCTCGAAAACGGTTTAATCTGCAGCATTGTTATTGTTGCTGCAGTGTCTCGTCCGCGAGGGGGAGTCTTCGGACTCGACCGTTCGCCCTATTCGCCGCGGTCTCGAAATCCCCGAAAAGACGACGTGAAATTAATACGACGAGTGCATTAGCCGCCGTCGATTTATTATATGTGTTTAATGAAAAACTGATAAACGATATTATTTTACTTCCATTATTAAAAACGTCGCCGTTACACGACGAAAGTCGAAACGACCTTTGTGTATACACGCTAAACAGATACGTAGCGCACTTTTGTAGCGTTTTTTCCCCGCAGTATACGATTTCCAGATATCTCGAAATGATTATGTACAGGTTTACTAGCAAATATTACGGAGTGTTTTCTTTTTTCTTTCTTTTTTTTGTCTGCGTTCCGAAATGACGATAATTATACAGTTTATGGGGTTACGTATAGGCGATTTCTTAACGTTTGGTACGTGATTTGAACAAAAATGAAAATTTGTTCCCGTGAATTGACGAAAGAAAACAAAAGACATCTTCCATTCGAATAGATTTTAGAGAGAAAAAGAACACCTGTTTATGTAGGGTCCGGCAGTGAAACAGAATAATTTGAGGTGTGGTATAGAGCGCGCAAGGTACCGGTGGGAACGAAGGTCATATATTATGCCCCTCAT